TCCTTCTGGGACTGGCCCGGGAGAACACCGGGACATTTTACCTCCCTCCCCAAAAGCTCTAAAAATCCCCTTTAAAAAGAAAAGTATTTATCCTGCCTTCATTGGAGAGCTCCTGCAACTCTCCTGGCGCATAGAAATGATGCAGCAGGAGAAAGGAGGGGGGAAGTGATTTTCCTCCTCTCCCCTTTCTCCTGGCGTGTCATTTCTACGTGCCAAGAGAACTGTGGCAGCTCTCCAATGGAGGCCGGGTAAGTACTTTTCTTTTTAAAAGGGTTTTTAAGGCTTTTGGGAAGGGGGTCAGTATTCCCACACTTTTCCTGGCTAATTTTGCCTGGAAAACCATGGGAATACTGTCTGAACTGCAGATGAATAAACCCACTATCAAATTAATTCACTACAAACCAGAGGTTTAGAGGGCTGTCTAGATCCACCTTCAAACAAGTGCCAGAAAGAGCAATTATATAAAAAAGATGGGAAGCTACAGCAGGTCCATGGTAGAATTCAGGATTCTGCCCCTGCACCAAATATTTTTAAGTTATATTTGGTCAAATCTGGGAATGCAGAACCCATGGATAGAGGGCCAGCTGTATTATTTATTTATTTACGTACTTACTTACTGTATTTGTATACCGTAGACGACTCAAGGCGGTTAACGGCAAAATTCAATGCTTACAATGTCATAAATATAATTAAAACATAGCATATAATAAAAACTAAACAAATCAATAAAATATAATTTCATAGTGTCTCGTTAAAAAAATTGTCCAGACTCATTGTCTAGTTGTTCCATTTTCCTATGTCAGTTACATTTGCAAACGCTGGTTCAAAAAGCCACGTCTTGACTTTTTTCTGGAATGTTAAAAGGGAGGTGGCCAATGTAATATCTATAGGGAGGGCGTTCCACAGCCAAGGAGTCACCACCAAGTATTAGGTGCCCCATACCAGCTCAAAACTATTTTCAGAAGTCCCTAAATTTTCCACAGAGGCATTACACCTACCATAAGGAATTTAGCTACAAAACAAAAGATAAAGGGGAAGAAAGAAAAGAAACTGAGCATTACTAGACGACATGAGTATCCTTTTCAGAACTACGTTTATCTATATGGGGATGGAAACACTGAGCACATCTATACCGAATGAAGCTTGGATAATGAAGCTTGGATCTGATTTGGGAGGAACCAATTTCACTGTGTGGATGATTAGATTGGCAGGTCTGAAACAGGTTTGAGACCAGGTGGGTGATTACATTAAACATGGAACCTGGTCTCAAACTGTGGTGACATGTCTTTCCCTTCCCCCATCCCCATTTCCGAGATAAATGTTGTGGAAGTGTATGAGGTGGGGGAAAAAGAAAAAGTGACAGCTAGCAGTGGAGGCAATCAATTACTCCTTTCAGGGAGTCCATTAGTCCCCTTACTGCCCAGTCATGGGCTTTGGGCATTTTTTGTAACCCCTCTTTACTGCATTTTACTGCACTTCAACAAGGACGGATATCTGCAATATGCTCTGCATTTTGCAGAGTCAGTTTCACCCTGGATTTGAGATACACTGGCATTTGTTACAGCTCTTTTTTTTTTGGCTCAACTAAGACTTTCCTACAACTTTCTTTAATGCGCTCTATATGTGTTTTGTGGTCAATATAGTTTCAAGTTGTCTGGATGCCGCATTATAGTGCCAGTGTAGATGGGGCTACTGAAATAAGACCACGTCTTATAATTTTGTTTTTGTTATGGAGATTCAGAAGATATAAATTGCCCTTTATTGACATCTCACTCAGGGCTTCCAGACAATGATTATGTAAATTTCCTTCTTGTGGGCTGTGACCCCATGATCACATTAAAAACAGCAAATGTTTCAGCAAACTGCTGTTAAAATAACATGAGTTTTTAATTGCACAATTTCAACCATAACACTATGTAACACGATTTTTGTTTCTGGGTTATAAATGTCATTTCCTAATTGGTTCTATCATAAAAAACATGAAAAGGGTTTAGTAAACTGCCAAAACTTTGTTTTTGCGGGATATCCTACAGCACATGTTGCTATCGTTTTTCAATTAATTTCTCATTAAGTTTCAACCAGTTCAACATAGTTTGTGGCAGCCATAAAAACAAAGTTCTTGGAGTATAACAACTACTTTCAAAGTACTGGCCAATTAAACAGGAAATAACACTTTCAAACCAGGAACAGAATTTTTTTTCAAATGTTGTTACATGGTATTATTTATCAATTATATACGCATGTTACAGTCCTTTGGTCAAACTGCTCATGTCTGTTTTAACAACAGAACCATATTTTAGAATTTAAATTGTATTTGTAATTAGGGTTAGGATGTTGGTTATGTCTGCTGATATATATTATATTTTTATAATTGCAGTGGCCTATGACTCAATCCAAATAAAATTTGACTTGTCTTAAAACAGAACAAATCTTAGTATGCATGCAAAGATTCTTTATTCTTTTGACATCCCTGGAAATATTCACCACAATGACTATTAAGATTAGTAGTTCCTGACTGAGAAGTGTTTCTAAATGTCAGATTTGTCAGAAATCAATAAATCTGTTGCTTGCTTTACTATTATCATTACCTTGACTCTTTCTCTGTTACTTCCTCACTCTATTGTTTTCTCTGTAGTATTATGACAAAACACTATAATATTTATGATCAATATAACATTTTACATAACTGAGCCATCAACATCCATCAAGGAATAGTATATGACAGATGGAAGAGTCACAGTTCGGTCACAGAGCATTCCTAAAAGTTTCTATAGTCAGTCTTTGACATCTATAGCTCAGGTGGACACCCCACCCCTCATGATCTACTGTAACTATATTTAGGTAGCAGGACCAGCAGTCTGATTTAGTATTGGGATGCTTCCAGGCCCGTAGCCAGGATTTTGTTTCGGGGGGGGGGGGGTGAATTTTTTTCAGGGGGGGTTCGGGGGGGCTGAGTTTCAGGGGGGGCTGAGTCTGAGTGAAAGAGGGTCTACCCTAGCAAACCTTTTGTATTGTTACCCCAATACCCCCATGCATATGGTATATGGATATGGTGATCAGATCATGATATGAATAAACATAACAGTTTAAATAATGCTCCAGTAAGGCCTTCTCATGGACCACCATGAGGCCCCCCCCCCCCCGAAACCCCTGAGCCCCCCCCCTGGCTACATGCCTGGATGCTTCCTGTGTTACTAAAGAAGACCACATGGTTCTGCAGCTCATACATTAGGTGTGCACTGCATTGCATGCACATGAATGCACACACAGAGGCTACTCATTAAGATCTGCTGTGGGAATCTCTTTCTTGGCTCTGGTGCCCTAGTTGTTGTCTCTCTTTTTGGAGGCCTAATACTATTCTTACTGAGACTGTTTAGGCCTTGTGATATCATTTCTTGGTTTTCAGTCTTACCAGTTTGTAGGTTCTGTTCTTTTTGAATTCTTAAATTATTATTGAGAGTTGTCTTTAAAGAAACCATTGATTGTCTCTCAGACAAATATAGATGGAACATGATTGACGTGGAAAGGAAAGGAAAGAAAAGAAAAGGAAAGGAAATTGCAAATGAGAAAAAAAGTGGATTGTGAAATAATTGGTCTTAGTTTCCAGTTTCAAAAAGTAGAATGTTTCAAGATTGGGTGCTGCTTGAAAAGATCTCTGAAGGCCCATCCACAAAGCCATATGACCCAGAATATCAAGGCAAATAATCCACAATATCTGCTTTGAACTGGATTAACTGAGTCCACACTGCCATATAATCCATTTCAATGTGAATTTTATACAACTGTGTGGAAGGAGCCTGAGAGACACCCATTTTATGATATGGTGTAGATTTGCCCCTCCAGTTATACATAATTATGCAGATCACACACACACACACACACAATTCTTGTTTGTGCAAATTTGAGTCAGTACTTTTAAAGGAAAAACTTGATACCAGATATTAAAATATTTGCAATGCAGATCTACTGTAAAAAATGCAAATTGTGTAGTTGTGATGGCTCAAAATAATTTATTTTTATAATTAACAGTTTTGCTCATGGATGAATATATTCAAGGATTAGGATTTTTTGCTTTTGAAATAAGCAAAATGAGTATATTTCTTTAGAGACATGTGGTTTGGCAAATTACATCATATTTTATACATGAAGAAATTTCTCTCTGTAAATTACATGTGCTTTACAAGTTCCTTTTAAGTTATTAAACCATTTTCAGAAAATGCATTTGGAAAAAAGTCAAATCTTCTTTTGGTATTCTTTTAATAGTGGAGTTGAATAACTTGTTTTATAGCATAACTCAAACTTCTCTGGTATTTGCATTACGTTATAAAACAAATCTGATGTCGTCTACTGCAGTCTGGTTAGGACAAGAGAATTATAGCCTGAATTTCTGAAGGACACAAACTTGGGGAAGGACATCATAAGCTTAAATTGCCATTGGTTGCTGAGTTAGAACTGTTTGCACATAAATACTAACTGTGAAGAGTTGGTTTCATTTTACAGGTATTCCTAGAATATTTGGCTAACAGTTGCTTAAGAAACAAAACCAGACAGCAGAGCTATCTTTGTCATTATGTAGAGAAAGATGCCTCAGGAAATATGCAATATACTGTAAGGAAGGGATCAGTGGTGGCAGCCTATAGTTGATCCCCAGTGTAGTTGTAGAATAAACAACCCCAAGCTAGTTTTAATATCTCTGAATATCGCAAGTGTTGCAGTAGGATTCAATGGTCAATACTTCCAGCTTTTGTAGATGGAATCGGGATAAGTGTACTGTGTTGGCTTTTTTCTCAAGTACTCAAATATTAGAGGCCATATATATGTACCACCCATTACAAATGTAAATATGAAATAGTGAAAAACAAAGCAAATCCACACTCATGCTTGTTACCATTACAATGTTTATATTTTGGGAGTACTTGTATAATGACATGATAGCACCTTTTTATATTTCTAATACATTGGAATAACTTTTAACATGAAATTGTGTTCTTCATTGACAGATGGAAAGGTTGAAGTGACAAAGGAAGGTGTAAAGTTGTGCACCATGGGGCCTGGCAAGGTATTTGGGGAACTCGCTATCCTTTACAACTGCACCCGGACAGCCACCGTCAAAAGTAAGACATTTAGAGCTTTAATATTGAAGTGATGCTGATAAATACTTGCAATTGATTGTTTGTTACCAATTTCATAAAATGTTTACATCTAAATGACTTGGTTTTACAAATTTTCAAACTATTATTGCGCATTGTTGAATTTTCTCATTTTATGTCAGTATAATCTAGATTTTACAGAAAGTGACTCAGAGCTATGTCACTTGTAGCATCTGATCCTTTTCCGTTCATTTGGCAAGGTTTCTTCTTTGGTCAAGATCCTCAAAACCTTCTATTGTTAAAACATATATTTCCTATGCAAAATTCTGAGGCCTCTGCAATAGTAGATCCCTATAGCAGGGGTCCTCTAACTTTTTAAACAGAAGACCAGGTCACAGTCCCTCAAACTGTTGGAGGGCCGGATTATAATTTGAAAAGAAAACATGAAGGAATTCCTATACACACTGCACATATCTTATTTGTAGTGCAAAAAACACTTTAAAACAATACAATAATTAAAATGAAGAACATTTAAAAAAAATATAGACGTAGTAGTATTTCAATGGAAAGGGTGGGCCTAATTTTGGCTGATGAGATAGGACTGTAGTTGTTGTTATTGTATGCTTTAAAGTCATTTCAGATTTAGGTTGACCCTGAGCGAGGGCCGGGTAAATGACCTTGGAGGGCTGTATCCGGCCCCTGGGCCTTAGTTTGAGGAACCCTGCCCTATAGTATGTGAGACAAAGGTTTGGGTTTTTTTTTTTTTTGAAAAATTGAATATACTGTTCTGTTGAAAGAAGGAAACATAAAGGACCATTGTATCATTGTTCATTTTCATATGCTTTCATTTTCAGATAACCATGAAAAAATTGACTGGAAAATATTAAAATGTATAGCTAGCTGGTGTAGTTACACATATTATACTTTATACTATGTCCCTTTTCATTCTCTTTCTTTCCAAGGTATTGCTTTATGTTTAGCTTTTAACAGTATCATTCTTTCCATATTACATTGCGACTGTTCTGAGGTCAGAACTATTATCTTAAAAAGAGAAAATTTGGAGAGCCAGTACTTATTTGTATTTGTTCATTGTTCTTCTCCCCCGCATTGATGTTTTAATGCAGGCAGCAACTTCCTGCATAATGCCATTTAGAATGCTAACAAGTGAGTTCAGTATAATTTCCCTCCTTCATTAATGCACAAATAAGTGAAAGACAGTTATAACTGTAATTAGCTTTATATGCATTCCAAAGTGCTCTGACAGGGGAGGTCACTAGTTAGCATTGGAAGGCGTTCCAGCTAGATCTAGATAAACATCTTCAGTTCCCTCAAGTGTGGAGAGCTGTACAGAAAACATTATTGACTAATAAATCAAAATTATTACTATTGCCTCTAAATGCCAGACTAGAACATCTGTTTGTTCCCACTGGAAGATCGCTCAGCTTACTTGTTGAAACTCTTGAAAAGCAGATGTTAGCATAAATGAAAGCTGTATAAAACAACAAACTTATGTAATCAGCTTTAAAAACAAAACCTGTCTTCTCCAAATGGATTTTGGTCTCTCAGAGACCCTTTCCTTCCCAAAGCTTCTTGTTTATAAACTCTAAGCTTCCTGATGAATAAGAAATGCTATAAAGAGTGAGAACTGTGGAACTTATAGCCAGAAGAAGGTTATTAATTAATTATCACATTTATTTGAAATTTCCATCTGGTCTTGTAGGATAAAGCTTCAAATGAGGAGGCTTTCATCAAACATTCATTTATGATGCCCCTTTCAATGAACTGTACTCTTTTAAAACAGTAGTTTGTATCATTTCCTAGTCCAGCAGCATACACATATAAAACTAATATGAATTTATGAGAATAATTTAAACATGACAGTTGTATGAATCCAGAAGTCCTTAACCTTTTCTTTGCCTAGAACCTCCTTTAAATATATGTTATTGTCACGGGCCATCCACATTTGTATGGCCTTATTCAATTCAGCAAATGGTGGTGGTGTCGGAGAGGCATTGGTAACAGAGGAGGCCTTCTGGCTTTGCCATCTAGCGGTTCAATCCTTCCAGCAGAACTACCTGCTAGAACAGTGGTTCTCAACCTGGGGTTCCCAGATGTTTTTGGCCTACAACTCCCAGAAATCCTAACAGCTGATAAACTGGCTGAGATTTCTGGGAGTTGTAGGCCAAAAACATCTGGGGACCCCAAGTTAAGAACCATTGTGCTAGAAGGTAGCAAAGGAGTCACTTCTGTCCACCTTGCATCCCTGGCTTTCCAGGTGTCAAATTAAGATCTAGATCTTTCCAGGTGTCAAATTAATCCAGAGTAAACTGGGAAATCCCAGTTTGCTCTGAATTAATTCGGGTTTACCTGAGGCAGCATTTGGACACCTCAGGTAAACCCGCGACAGGCCCTGCGTTTTGGTCTTGTCTGGAAGGGCCCTCAGCCTAACTAGCTAGTAAATGGCAATTAATTTTCCCAGCAACGGCAACACCTCACAGTTTCCCTCATAGTCATTCTGGAGTAAGCAGAATTATGCAATCTTTCATTCTGAATTACAAAATTGATGAAGAAAATGTTAACATGTGTTTTAAATTTTAAACTGTAAGTCAGTTAGTACCCTTCATATTTAATATTCTTGTTTTCATTTCTGGTCTGAAAGCAATGATACAGAAATGATAATTGGGGGAGATTTCTTTCAGTGATCATCAATTTTTCCACCAAACCATTACTGTCCTTTATGTCCTTTGAGGCAATGGTTCATGGCAGGAAAGCAAATTCATCTAAATCAGTTGTTTTCAACCTGTGGGTCTCCAGATTTATTGGCCTTCACCTCCCAGAATCATAGAATCATACAGTTGGAAGAGACTTCATGAGCCATCCAGTCTAATCCCCTGCCAAGAAGCAGGAAAATTGCATTCAAAGCACCCCTGACAGATGGCCACCAGCCTCTGTTTAAAAGCTTCCAAAGAAGGAGCCTCCACCACACTCCAGGGTAGAGAGTTCCAGCTCTCACAGTCAGGAAGTTCTTCCTAATGTTCAGATGGAATCTCCATTCTTGTAGTTTAAAGCCATTGTTCCGCGTCCTAGTCTCCAGGGCAGCAGACAACAAACTTGCTCCCTTCTCCCTATGACTTCCTCTCACATATTTATACATGGCTATCATGTCTCCTCTCAGCCTTCTCTTCTTCAGGCTAAACATGCCCAGCTCTTTAAGCTTTAATCATAGGGCTTGTTCTCCAGACCCTGATAAACTGGCTGGGATTTCTGAGAATTGTACGCCAAGACACCTGGGGACCCACAGGTTGAGAACCATGGATCTAAATGGATACTCCACTCACTTAAGCCAGGGTTCCATGCTAGCAACATTGTCAACACACTCCAGTGAACACTTCGACCAGTGCCAAGAAATTGTAACTTCCTTCTGAGAGGTTTCAGGTTTTTTTCACCTGCTCTGACCTGAGTGAATCTTCTTGGAAGAAAGGACAGCACTTTTGTAAAGTGAAGGGAACTACTTCAGAGCAAATGAAGATTTATTTTCTATGACTTTGATCCCACCCCACTCATTCCAAGTCAGCCGATCCACACTTGTTGAGCTGAACCAAGTATTAATTATTTATCATTTACTTTATTTATATCCTGTTTCAAGATCTATACCTTTTTTCTTTGATGGAAATCCCAAGGTTTTGTTGGCCTTTCATTTGGAAATAAGCAGGAAATCTGGCTTCCTTTGCTTCTTTGGAAGTAAGCTGCCAAGGGTTTTAAGTAAAAGCTCATTGCATTTCTTCAAGCCTTCTTGGGTCCCCTGAGAGGACACTGCAATCCCCTTGGGGTCTGCAGACAGCAAGCTAAAAACCGCTGGTATAAACCATCAATGCTCAGAAATATAGTTCATCAAAATAAAAATGGATTTGGTTAAAAGCCGATAGCAATAACGTGGAATGTATTTCCATTGGGAATAAGTTTTACAGATAGAACAGGGGCCACTGCTGATAGTTTCTGTTTTGGAAGAGCTTGTCTTTGTCTATTGTGCTATTGAATTAGATGGCTGAATTATCATTGTCAGAATGAAATAAAAAAACACAGAGAAACTATTGCTACTGTTTCCGGGGTCCACCCATGGGACTGATCTTACAGTAGGACTTGAGACTGAAGTTGAGGTTCAGTGAAGATCACAGGAGTGCAGATACTCCTTCTAACAACCTAAGTCCTCAAAGTAGTTCTTCCTGTACCTTTTCTTAAAGAAAAAAAGTGCATTGCTGGTTTTTTCCTATACCTACCCTGAGCACACAGAAAGGTTTGTGCAAGGGGAGTTCTTGTTCATATTCGCTCTGTGGTAAAATGTATTTTTATAATGTTTCAATTCTTTTATTTTTGTATCTCTTGTATTATAGGCTTAGTGTACTAAGGATATGATTATATTAGAATTCAATGAAAAAATGACAGTTCCAAAACAGGCTAAGTTTCCTTTATTTGGAAATCCAAAATCTGAAATGTCCTTCAAACCAAAACAGCCCATATAGGTGGCTGAGAGGGTAAAATTTCTGGTAATTCAATATACACTTCTTGTGTGATTACCCCAAGCCATGTGAACAGGAAATGGCTTGTGGCTCCAGTGCGATGGCAGTGACTTCAATGTGCCTTTGGTCAAATCAGCTATCTGGTGGTGTCACTTTTTGTGTGATCACACCAAGCCATGTAAACAAAAAATGCAATGTACCATCATTGGTGGTAGCAATGGCTCCAATGTGCCTTTGTTCTAGTCAGCCATTTGGATGCCCAAAGGGCTCCAGGGATGCTCTCAAGATGCATTGGGGCAGCTACCAAGTGGTTTACCCCCAGATCAATTGGGAAAGTGTTGACATGGTCTGAGTTTTAAATTAAACATATGGTCAAAATTCTTAATGCTTAGTCAATAGTATTATGGATTTTTTTTCCTTTTTTTACTCTGATCGAAACCACAATAAAATTAACTAAACATGAAATGTTCCTCAGATCCAGTGCCAAAAAGCTTTGTAAATTAAACA